CCGTATCATTTTTCGGGCTTTTTAATCCGCTGTTCAAGAATCTTTTAGATTAAATCTATGAAAAAAAGTGGAAATACCATAGGATAAATCTTAAGTGAAACAAGACTTTGTTGGCTTTGAACACTTTTACTAGACAAAATACGGTGTACCATCAAATTGTATCCGCAAGATTTCAGACCGTGGCTTTGAACACTTTCAATAGACAGAATACGGTGTACCATCAATTTGTATCCGCAAGTTTTCAGACCGTGGCTTTGAACACTTTTATTAGACAAAATACGGTGTACCATCAAATTGTATCCGCATGTTTTCAGACCGTGTTATGTTTTGAGAAAAACAATCCTTTGTTTTAAAAGCTGGAGTATTTTGACGTGATGGCTGTGATGTTTTTGTGTAATATTTCTACGGATGTGTACCAGTTTAAAATTTAAAATAAAACGACTCTTTCGCTATTTACATCTATTTTTAGAAGATTTCTCTTAGGTCTCATTTTTCCTCGTAGATACATTTTCGGAGACAACTCAAGAATATGTAATTTTCAATTTAATTAGAAATAAAATATGGCATTAAAAGTTAATAGAAATATTACTATTTTAACCCATATTATCCCAAGGTCTCAAATTTTTATAAATTTTTGATATGGTTTAGCTTTTGGGCACTGAATGAAGGAATGACTATGGATTTTTTTAAAAAATCAATACTTTTTTAAATATCGATTTTTTAAAAAACGTCCCATAAATGGGACGCTAGCAACGAACGGCCCCATGTACATTTATTGAAAAAAAAAATCATTTATCACGAAATATGGCTAATCAAGCGAAAATTAAGCTGAATACTGATTTTGTATTGTTAGACCAATGATTACATTGTTTAGCACAGCTAAAAATATTGATAGTGATCAATTGGGTTAGCCATACCATGGTCTAAAATGCAGAAATTTTGTTCAAAAGTCTAGTTTTCTTTCAATTTAGCATCCGTCAAAGTGAAAAACACTTGGAAATAAGTAAAGCTGTGACTAATACATCTAATTATACACACATGATCACAAATATTGTTATTATTCACCGAAACTGTAATATAATTAAATATAAATAATTGATTTTTTGGGGGGCGTACTTGAAATTTTCAGGGGTGGGGACTTAAATTTCAGGGAAAGGGTGGACATTGGTAAAAGTATGTTTTGTATATAAATTCCATTTTGTTCTGGGGGCAGAGCCCCCCCCCCCCTCCTCCGAAATGATGTCTGAAAGAAACTCTGCCCTCAGTGAAGTTGCAAAAGATGATCCGGTCCAGTCCCAGATGTCATCCAGCCATCTTCTCTTTTGTTACCCTTGCTATTCCCCCCCCCCCCTCACTGGCGTACATTAGGACATCAGACATCTTATTTGCAGGGCACAGATCCGTCTCTGGGGGCTTGTATTGAGTGTTCATGGCTCTCATCCAAGTATGCACCTCACTATGCGAACAGTTCCCAATCTAACACCAGGAATCTCCTTAAAAAGTTAACAAAGTAAAACTGGTATCGGGAACCTTTGGAGGGGAATATTATTGGGGCATGACAACTGTACACAGCTAATTCACCTTTCTGCTATATGTAGCTTGAGCTCTCTTATATGAAGAGAGTTAACCAACCCCCTTGACTGAATCATTGCACCTCAATCGTGGCCATTGTTATTATTCTGGTTTGTTATAATTTTAATATCACGCGCTAGTAAATTTACAGCAGTACTAAATTAGTTTTTATTCAATGGTATTAAATACTTCAGTAAGTGTAATACTGAAAAATTAAAAATAAAATGTAAGTTTTTCAATATTTGCAATTTTTTAATACAATAATATATAAGAAAATATAGCTCAAGGTCATAATTAAATATCTATTAATACTGCTTAACACCCTAAAGTCAACAGTTAACAAAGTCAACAATTGTTTCACCATAATTAACCATTTAACATAAATATTTGCATCTGTGTTTCTTACTAGTGTCTAATAAATGTAACGTTTGTGTAACAATCTGCATAAATCAAGGTCATAATTAAATATATATAAATACTACTTAACACCCCAAAGTCAGCAGTTAACATAGTCAACCATTGTTTAACCATAAATAACCATTTAACATAAACATTTGCATCTGTGTTTCTCTCTAGTGTCAAATAAATGTGACGTTTGTGTAAGAATCTACATGGGGCCATTCGTTGCTAGCGTCCCACTTATGGGACGCTTGTTGTACACTTGATATAACGAAGTAGTAAAAAAAAAATTTTATTCTTAAATTTTTATCAGATAGAAATATGGTACTGCTACAAGTTTCAAATGTATTTTGCACTTAAAATGTTAATATTTTAGAAGATATGCATTTTCCTGTGCGCATGTTTTCTTTTTTCCGCCATTTTGACAAGTCCTGCAAATCCGGCACTATAACATTTTTCTAAGTTAATTTTTTTCACAAAACACACAAACGTTCAATAGTCTAACCATTTTCAAATACAATGAAACATAATTTGTGTTTTAACTAGTTTTTACTAAATTTTAGCAATTTTTTTTACAAGCGTCCCATAAGTGGGACGCTAGCAGAATATGGGTTAAAGGGGAGCCGGACCTAATTAGATGTTTGATTAACTACCTACTGTTAGAGCAGAAAAAAACGAGACCGCTTAAGGGAGATCAATCCTGTTTTTATTTTTATTTTTAATATATAAAAAATAAAATCGTCGATGGCTATAGGTTAGATCAGCGACCAATGGTGTGCCTGTGTGGTGTGTAATTGATCTAATGACGTCGATTCTTCTTACCTGTCAATAAAACGTGGCGTTAAAAAAGTATTTACAACACAGGTGAAAATAAAAACTAATAGAAGTAAAAAAAAAAAGTGGAAGAAAAACTATTGATCTTGGCTTGAGGCAGTCTACGGCACTTGACTTGGATCAAGTCACTTGACTTGGACTAAGTCACTTGACGGGAGTGTCAAGTCACTGAGCTAATGTGTCAAGTATCGGCTCGAGGGTGTCACTTATCTCGGCTACTTGTCACAGGTGACACCCAGGTGTAGCATTGCTCCAAGGTGGTCAAACGCCGCTGGTAGTGATACCTTTACACTGGTAGAAATACCTGTAGACAGGTAGATACACCTGTAGACAGGTACAAACACCTGTACACAGGTACAAACACCTGTACACAGATACAAACACCTGTAGACAGGTACAAACACATGTAGACAGGTACAAACACCTGTAGACAGGTTACACATGTACACAGGTTACAGCTGTAGACAGGTACAAACACCTGTAGACAGTTACAAACACCTGTAGACAGGTTAAAACTGTAGACAGGTACAAACACCTGTAGACAGGTACAAACACCTGTAGACAGGTACAAACACCTGTAGACAGGTTACACCTGTAGACAGGTACAAACACCTGTACACAGGTACAAACACCTGTAGACAGGTTACACCTGTAGACAGGTTACACCTGTAGACAGGTACAAACACCTGTACACAGGTACAAACACCTGTAGACAGGTACAAACACCTGTAGACAGGTACAAACACCTGTAGACAGGTACAAACAGCTGTAGACAGGTACAAACAGCTGTAGACAGGTACAAACAGCTGTAGACAGGTACAAACACCTGTAGACAGGTATAAATACCTGTAGACAGGTACAAACACCTGTAGACAGGTAAAAACAACTGTAGACAGGTATAAACACCTGTATTTAGGCACAGAAAATTATCAGAAGTATAAAAACCTGTCGATGTCAGGTAAATGTGTACGCCGGTGTCGGAGTCTATGCCAATTACTATTTTGTCTCATTAAGTTGATGTCATCATAAGTGCGATACTCGTCACAACACACACATATGAGATTTTATCAACCCAACCCAACCCGAGGGTTCAATCGTGACAAGTCCAACCAATTAAAATTTTAAAAAGCTTATTATTCCAATCATTAGTTGTCACTACCGTATTCTCGCTTAACCTTAGGTCACGTGAATAAAGATATCAGCTTGATATTTCCTTTTTTATAACGTCATACTCATATATTGTTTTAGGTATGTGTAACATTTAGTGCTGTAGATAGATTTAACTGCGTGGTAAGTTTTTATGTTATACGCGAGTCATACCTGCATATAATGTTTTACATCAGTAATTCCTTGAGCCATATCTTTATATAAAGCGTGTAATATCTACATATATAACGTATGGTTTTAACATTACAAACTTTTTCTGTTGCATGTAAATACAAATGTTGTATGCAATTCCCACGCTGTAATGCCCTTAAGTCTTTGACGTTGTAACTAGAATTTAAAAAAAAAAAGTATCAGCTTTAGTCACATAATACTAGGTGACCGAAATCACACTCCCAATGTGATGAGAGGTAAAAGGTTAAAGGTTAACACATTTATACCTGCTAGTGCGTGTTTGATGGGGTGGGGGTGTGGCACAAGGTGTCAAGATTTTGTTTCAAACGTAAGCGGCTTTTGTGGAGCTTTTAGCAGCCCTACGGCGTCTGTGTGTCCCGATGACAAATGATGGCCGTGCTTTGGGAAAACTCTGCACCTCCTGCACTGCCAGCCCCCCCCTCCCCCTTTATTCTCTCCCCCCCCCCCCCACCCCCAACCCCTCCATCTGTAAGGAGTTTTAACCTGATGTAATACGTATTTTTTTTTCTTTTTCAGGTTTTTATCAAGTTTATTTGTTCAGAGGACCCAAAAAGTGAAAGTAGAACCAAGAACATTTTTTTAAACAGACGTTTTGAATAGCTTGTTTGGATGATTGGATAGTTCGCATAAACTTCATCTCATGACACATGTCATTGGGCGACGGATGTCATTTTTGGCACGTCAGTTATATTCCACATTTTAGATTTTAAAAGTTGCAGGATATTTCAAGAGGCATCCTTTGTGTTCTAGATGTGCGCTGAAAGATTTTAAAAAATGGCGGGAGATGGTCATGAATCACACATCGCGTGATTAGGTACTGAGGTTCGAATCTTAGCGCCGGACGAGTCCATCTGACGATGACAGCCCCGGCTCACACCCCCCTGATGACAGTGGACCCGGCCACGGAAGAACACGTCATCTTCTACAACGTGTCGCTAACCCTCCGACAAAACATCTCCCTGGTCAACACCTCGCTATGGCCCCTCTACCAGCCCACCCTCCACCCCCACAACTTCACGTTCGAGGAGGTCACGGTACTCACTTCCGTTGGAAGATCACCTGTTCGACCTCAAATGGCCTTGAACATGCTGCAGACTGTAGTCAAAACCGTCGACGACTTTGTCATGCCGGCCGGCCTTGGCATTGGGATTTTATGCAGCATTCTACTCATCTTAACCTTCATGTGTACGCCGCTACGCGCAAGCGCGCTCAGCCACTATCTCACCGCGCTAGGCATCGCTGACCTGCTGTATCTGACCTTCTGCGCCGTCCACTGGACCTCGCAGAAAAGTTTCGACATCTACAACAAGATCGGCTCCTGCCAGATCACGACGTTCGGCCTCCTCTTGTCCAGATTTCTCGCCACCTGGTACCTCTTCGCCGCACACGCCGAGCGCCTGGTCATCCACTTCGGCTCCTGCCGTGCCAGAAAATGGTGCACGACCTTCCGAACTAAATGCTTCATCATCGGTATCTTCGTCTTCTCGCTGGTCGGCTTCTCGCATTACATCTGGGTCTACATCGTCTCGGAGCTGCGCGGGATGGTCCAATGCCACCTAATGGAAGAATCCATCAAGTTCATCATGCAGCTGGGCAAAATCGAGATCATCACCGCCTCGTTCTTACCGATGTTTCTCATCGTCGTCATCGACATCGCGCTCTGTTCCAGTGTCGTCGCCGCTTACGTCAAAACACTTTTCAACAACGCGAAAACACAGCGAGACAAATCCTGGAGAGGGGAATACAAACTCGCAGACACAGAACGCTCCAAATCTCCGTCGACAAGATCCGGCGATTCAAATCCTCCCCCTCCCAAGTTTGACATTTCCCTGGAGCGGACGCGCGCGACGGTACTGGTGGTTATAGCGGGGATTATTTTTATTTGTCTGGTGCTGCCCTCGTCGATATACCGCGCCAAGATTTCGTTTTCCATGGGTTCGAGACCCTCCATGGTGGAGATCCACGCGATGCAAATAGCTGAGGCCTGCGTCAAGTTCAACAGCATCTACAAACTTTTCCTGTACGTCGTCACGCTCAAATCCTTCCGCTACGGCCTTCTTCATCTTTTTAAAACGCCCTTTGAGCGGCGGGCGGTGGGCGAGCCTTTGCAGGAAACATCCGTATGACCTACATCCGTCTGACATTTGAACTGTGTTTTTATAATTAGCGGACGTCGCGTGTTGAGGACATACACATAAAAGTGATTCCAAAGATTTGCAGACTTTTTTTTGTCCAGAAACTCTGGCCAATTTGGCAAGTCTGTACACACTAGGTTGTTTTTTTTTTTTACCAGAAAGCGCTTGTATAAAGACAAGACAGACGTTATTTTCTTGTATCTTCAACATGTCATTTTGATTAACCCGTTATTCAGACCGGTATCATTGTATCAAGGTATCATGGTATCGTGGTACCCAAGTATCGTGTTATCGTGGTATCGTGGTATCGTGATATCGTGGTATCATGGTATCATGGTATCATGGTATCATGGTATTATGGTATTATGGTATCATGGTATTATTTTATCATGGGTATCATGGTATCGTGGTAGCATGGTATCGTGGTAGCATGGTATCGTGGTATCGTGGTATTATGGTATCATGGTATCATGGTATCGTGGTAGCATGGTAGCATGGTATCATGGTATCGTGGTATTATGGTATCATGGTATCATGTAAGCGCGGTAGCATGGCACCTTAGAAGCGACTGGTATCATGGTAGCTAGCCCAAATCGGTAGCCTTGCCTGTTTGTCGACCCTACACACCATGTAGCTTGTCATCACGGTAGCCTGATCAGCACGGTAGCCTTGTCAATAGGATAGCGTGGTCAGCGTGATAAAAATGGACAAGGTCTGGTCAGTATGGTAGCCTGGTCAGCATGGTATCCTGGTCAGCATGGTAGCATCAGTGTGATGTGGTACTTATACAGTGGCGTAGCTTTGGTATTGGTTGGCTTGCACGGCCCTGTTCTTGATACGACCCAAAATAATATGGCCCCGCCTTATCTTGAACCTATTGTAAACTGTGTAGAGATATTTTCTGAAGTCGAATTTTTTGAGTAAATTACGCACACACAAAAATCATGTTTGTTTATTGGTAAGAAATTAATTTCAAAATAATTTATTGTGTCGGAAAAAAGTCGTAAGAGCTAACTGTGATTAGAACAAAAAATAAAACGCGTTTTTGCTACCCTACAATATTTCTACGTCTTCTCAAACACTATCGGAAATGAAATAAAAAGCTCCCTTTTTGTCGAGGTTCCGACGGGGCACACCACTTACCTTTGCTACGCTACTGTATTAGAAAAACAGAAGGCAAGTTGTCTAATCTAAAACAAATTGGTGTAACATAAACACATTGTAAATACATGTAAATGATGTAATTTATATAACGTGACTGTATTCTGTGATATAGAAACATGTTCATTGTTGAGTGACAGATCACGGGGAAATTGTTTGTTGTTAAATATCAGGTCACGATAACCTACTTCATTGTTGAACATGTGTCACCAAGGCCTACTTCATTATTAAATGATGGCTCATTAAGGCCTACTCCATTATTAAATGATGGCTCATTAAGGCCTACTTCATTATTAAATGATGGCTCATTAAAAGGCCTACTCCATTGTTAAATGTCGGGTCACTATGTCCTACTTTATTATTGAATGAGAGGTTACCGTGACCTATTTCATTGCTGATTGACAGGTCCCATGACCTATTTCATGGCTGATTTACAGGCCCCATGACGTAACATTCACTAAACACACTGTTACAAACATTGAATGAAGGAAACTTGGTGGACGTCTAATCAAACATTTGTTTACACGCTGTTGAAACTATTATATTGAGACGAAGTAAATACTGAATGAAAAGCGTGGGACCTGATGCCCCCCATCATTTCCCATCATCACCCATCACACCTCATCCACCCTCACACACGTATGAAGCTGCTGTTTGTGTGGTGTGTGTGTGTTTGTGTGTGATTTGAGCGCTGAAAATGTGTCAATGTGAGTTTGTTCCGAACAATTAAGTTTGCAGCAGATTTTTTTCGCTTCATCCCAGAGACAATAAAAAGAAGATAAATTGATTAACTGCCTTGGTGTGATTTGCTTTTATTTTTCTTTGGCTCTTGATGTGGTTGATGCTGACTGGTGCTATTTTTCTTGCCTTGATGGGCTGTCTGTCATTGTTTTTGTATGTCGTGATGGGCTGTCTGTCATTGTTTTTGTATGTCGTGATGTGCTGTCTGTCATTGTTTTTGTATGTCTTGATGTGCTGTCTGTCATTGTTTTTGTATGTCTTGATGTGCTGTCTGTAATTGTTTTTGTATGTCGTGATGTGCTGTCTGTCATTGTTTTCGTATGTCGTGATGGGCTGTCTGTCATTGTTTTTGTATGTCTTGATGTGCTGTCTGTCATTGTTTTTGTATGTCTTGATGAGCTGTCTGTCATTGTTTTTGTATGTCGTGATGTGCTGTCTGTCATTGTTTTTGTATGTCTTGATGTGCTGTCTGTCATTGTTTTTGTATGTCGTGATGGGCTGTCTGTCATTGTTTTTGTATGTCTTGATGGGCTGTCTGTCATTGTTTTTGTATGTCGTGATGGGCTGTCTGTCATTGTTTTTGTATGTCGTGATGGGCTGTCTGTCATAGTTTTTGTATGTCTTGATGGGCTGTCTGTCATTGTTTTTGTATGTCGTGATGGGCTGTCTGTCATTGTTTTTGTATGTAGTGATGTGCTGTCTGTCATAGTTTTTGTATGTCGTGATGTGCTGTCTGTCATAGTTTTTGTATGTCGTGATGGGCTGTCTGTCATTGTTTTTGTATGTCGTGATGGGCTGTCTGTCATAGTTTTTGTATGTCGTGATGGGCTGTCTGTCGCTGACTTTTATCTTGTCCCAGTTCGCTGTCTGTCATTTCTTTTTTTTCTTGCCATACTTCTCTGTCTGTCATTAGTTTTTCTTTCTATAGTGTGCTTTCTGCCATTACGTTTTCCTTTAACAGTGTGATGTCTGTCATTCCTCTTTCTTGTCCTAACGTGCTTTCTGTCGCTAGTGTTTTCTTGATCTGATGTGATGTCTGTCAATGATTTTATTTGTTACGCTGTTGTTATTGGGGTTTTTTTTAAAATTGTTTATTTTATCTTTAAATCTCATCTATTTGTTTTTACTTTAAAAAAAAAACGTTATGCGTGATGCTGTCAAGTCTTCAATGTGTGGCAGCAAATCTGGAGCAGGAGCTTTCTGGCTATTTAAACAAACGTGATAGCTTTACATGTTGGGTACTACGGTAGACAGCTTTATATACGTAGTACTGCTTTAGACAGCTTTATATACGTAGTACTGCTTTAGACAGCTTTATATAAGTAGTACTGCTTTAGACAGCTTTATATAAGGAGTACTGCGGCGGTCAACTTTACGTTGCTGTGGTACAGAAAATTTCTACAAAGATCAGAATATAGTTCGACTCTACTGCAAGAAACCTCATGGTTCAGGACGCTTCTTTAAAAAGAAAATAACATTAATTAAATGTTAACATTTTACTATATTCTACTCTAGAAGTTTCAATTAATTAATTGTCAAAGACTCTTCTCGGCTCTAAAACATTTTTTTTTTTTGCAACCAAGTAGCTTTGATATATAACAAAACTTCTGTTTTATCTACATTCCATGTTAGAAAAAAACGACGAAGGAAAAGGTTTAGGTTAAAAAAACATGGACGTCCTTTAGACTTCCAACCAATGGATGTCACTAAGACACACAACAAGCAATAAAGTATAGATACTTAAAGAAATCACACCCTTAGCCACGTGACACTCCCACTCTCACAGTCAGTGGCGTAGCGATGTCGGGTTTCACCCGGTGCGGCACTTAATGGTGTCACCCCACCCCCCCCCCAGAGGCGTAGCGACCCTTCCCGGGGACAAACTTTCAAATTTTCGATTTGCACCCCCCCTCAAATTTTCGATTTGCACCCCCCCTCAATCTTTCGATTTGCACCCCCCCTCAAGTTTTTCTCTATATATTTTGCTATTTTTTGCCTTGGTGTCACCCCCTAAATGGTGTCACCCGGTGCGATCCGCACCCCCCCCCCCCCTCGCTACGCCTCTGCTCACAGCTATGAACTTATTTCAATTCGCGAGCAAAAAATAACAACTCGAAACCGCGAATTTCTATCTACGCCTTTTGAATCTCCGTTCCAATATCCTTATTCTTTAACGTTTATTTTTTTTATATTAAAGTACATGTGAATCCCATTCATTTAAAGTGCACGGAAATCTAACTTTTTTTTTCCTGTTCAGATAAACTTCCCTAGCCTGTAAATTCCATTATTCCCGACCCGACGGCCAAGTTCTCAATGACCTAACCAAACGCCTAATTTCCCATCCCACGTCAGGTCAGTGTTTGGATTCTTCCAGAAATAATGCCCGATGTGTAACGATTTTTAAAAGCCTTTTTAAAAATAGCAGCCGCCAAAAGACCGGAAATCGATGCCACACCTCACGTGACCGATCCTATGACGTAGCTTACCGCGGCGGTGATATCCGGTTTCGTCCGGGTAATGAGCAGGTTTCGCTTCTGCTGCTGTATCTCATGTATGACGTGCTGTATATTCAGTGCTTCTCCCAGACTTTTTTCTCCGGGGGGGGGGGCACTTGATATTTTCGGGGGGAGGGGGTGGTAGACTTTTTTTCGTTCGCGGGTGGTGGTGAGGCCTGGAAGAAACCGTGTATATTAGCTTTGACGTCTGCGTGTCGATGTATGACGTATTATTTGTTAGCTGTTTGAAGAATTTGGGGTTTTGTATAAAGCCAACACAATTATTACGACTTCCTAAATTGTGTGCATTCATCTCGAACATGGACACAAGATATGCAGGCTACAAAATTGTCAACAATATTTGATGAAGTCTATATTAATGAATGGCGTCTTAAAATCGACTTACGCTGTGTATGTGCACACTTTGATATGTTGAATATGTAATGTGACAATGCCATTATTCATGTCATAAATGAAATACAGCAGTGGAAACAAAAGTGTGGCGTGACGTCATCCCTGATTCACAAGACGGTTTTTTGAATATTTTGACGTAATATAATGTCGTCATGCATTTAACACGACATCTTTAATACCTTGACATCTGTGGCGTATGTTATCTCACGTCATCAA